CATAAAAAATAAAGGAATAAAAAAAAAAAAAGAACACTTGAAATAATTGGCGACACAGCTCGAAAAAAATGTCGGTTTCCTTGATGATACTTTGACGAGCGCCCAATTTTAACACGCTGCTCACAAATCGCTACCTCAGAATTACAACGTTCCAATCTGACATGTTTGGCCGTTTCGAGTTACTAAGATCAGGAGATCGGCAACCAAATGTTCTATCTGCTGTATCAAAATCGTACGATTATTCGGAGTTGTTATCAAGCTATTTAAAAAAAAACTGTTAAAAAAGGTTCACATGTTGTGAAACTCAAAACTTGTAATGTTATATTTTTTTAAAACTATGTACTTAGGAGATATAACTTTGTAAATTAATTCTAGGGTAGCAAAATGGCGTGGTCTGCGCTGAATCGGAGTTTCGTCAGTGTGTACAGTCTAGGGTATTATTATAAAACAAGTTTATTCAATAGATCCGACAAACCTTATACAAAGGCAGACAAATGCCATCAATCCAAGACAACTGCAATTTGGCAATTTCATCCTGTTTCTCTCGATCCATGCAAGCCTGAATTAAAAATATAAAAAAAAGCAAAAATAAACAACAAAAAAAACGTCGTATAGATTCAGGAATGTCAAAGATGCTGTACATTTTAGGGAATGACTCAAGTACAGTCGAAATAATTGTCAAAGACAGCTATCCTTGGTCAGTGAGAAAAGCGGTCTTCTTAGACAGGTGACAGTCTTACACAATGTCGTTATAATGTAAAGAATACATATTATAAGAGGAAATGGGAAGTGGCCGTATGTACAGGTGGTTGTCTTATGCAGATGACCGTTAGAGCAGGTTCGACTGCAGTTGGTCAAGTAGCCTTCTGGCCCGGGAATAATACTGTCAGTTACGGTCAAACCTGCTGTAACGATCATCTGTCCAGGACAATCACTGTATAAATAACCACATCCAACTTCCCTCACCCCCTCCGATATTCTTTTTCTATAAAAATCAAAACGATATTGTTTCAGAGAACCACCCGTCTAAGATGACCACTTTTCTCCAGGAAAACAATGGTTGGTCATTTTGACCAGTTCGAAAGTATGTTATTTTGTATGTACTCCTATTTGACAAACCATGAAATATCACTACTATTATCACATTTATCATTATTATCATTACTAAAATCATCATCACCATCATCATCATCATCATCATCATCATCATCATTGTTTGGTAAGCAGGGTAGAAATCATTTCCATCATCATCATCATCATCATCATCATCATCATCATCATCATCATCATCATCA